CTGCAGACAGACGACCCTCACCCTGCAGACAGACGGCCCTGCAGACAGACGGCCCTCACCCTGCAGACAGACGGCCCTGCAGACAGACGGCCCTCACCCTGCAGACAGACGGCCCTGCAGACAGACGGCCCTCACCCTGCAGACAGACGGCCCTGCAGACAGACGGCCCTCACCCTGCAGACAGACGGCCCTGCAGACAGACGGCCCTCACCCTGCAGACAGACGGCCCTGCAGACGGACGGCCCTGATCACACACACCTATCACTGTGTTGGATTCCAGAGGCTGGATCCTCCAGGGACCCGGTCTACCTGGACTGGATCCTCCAGGGACCCGGTCTACCTGGACTGGATCCTCCAGGGACCCGGTCTGTGGGTTCAAACAGGTCCACCCTTCTCCAGCTTTCACCACCCGTATGATCTGTTGCCTAGCAACCATAACAGTTGACACTCAAATCATTCAAAGAATGGCTGCTGAACGTCTCTCTGCTGTTCTGGGTGTTAATAACATTTCTGAGGAGCTTCAGCAGCAGTACGGTCGTCTCAGATATCAGATTTATAGTCCCCACCCTGCAGATCTATTAGAATCTGTCCTTAAATTCCAGCCAAACCCATTTAATCAGTAACAGATAAAAACCTTTAGATAAATCAAACATTACCGCCACATATCTGACTCTATAACCATTAAAACAACTATTTTCATTCATTTCAGACGGAACTATTCACTGACTGGATTATATTAAACTGAACTTCCAATATTCACCACTGTTTGGCGCCATTTCCCTTTTTCCTCTGATCACGGAGCAGCCAACACACGTGGATTCCCAATGAATTCTGGGATATCCAAGGCTACGGAGGATGCAGCAGACCTGTCCTTCAAAACCGGCAAAAAGAAAGACGCATTAGTCGGCCGCATAACGAAGAGTCTTCCAATCAGAACAGACCTTAGCGCCGCGCTATGACATCATCGGCAGATGAATCTTAGGACATGGCAGCTGGATTTAAACACAGCTACGTTTTGAGGAAAATCGACTCTACTTCACCAGAAGTATGCGCTCGCCATCGCCTCATGGAGGCTGATCCTGATCTGGCGATGGTCGTTAGCGGCTGATGGCCCCTCCTACCTCCATCTACGACACTAAGCAGGATGCTCCATGAGGCTCCATCCAGCCGTAGCATGTGCACCCGCCCTTAGTCACATTCATTTCTCTGCACATAATGAACATTTAAATGTAAATTCTATCCAGTCTATTTCTATAGCTCCAATTCACATCATGTCATCTCAGGTCAGTTTATAGATCCAGATCAACCAGATCATCCAGTCAGATTGATTCAAAGTTTCTATCCAAGGAAAACCAGCTGATTGCATTGACTCATTGACTCTTCAGCAATCCCTCACACTAAGCATGCTTGGAGCGACAGTGGAGAGGAAAAACTCCCTTTGAACAGGAAGAAACCTCCAGCAGAACCAGGCTCAGTGTGAGCGGCCATCTGCTGAGGCCCACTGGGGTTCAAGGAGACAGAAGCAGACGTAGGCTCTGTTCGAAAACCTAGGACGCATCCTTAGAAGACCGGATTCGAAGGCCGATTACGTCATAGCGCGGCGCCGAGGTCTGGTCGGATTCCAAGAATCCTCGTTATGCGGCCTTAAAATGCGTCCTTCTTTTTGCCCGATTTGAAGGACGGGTCTGATGTATCCTCGGTATTCTTGGATATCCCAGGATTCATTGCGAGACCAAGCAAGCTGTGATCAGAGGAAAGGTTACTTGGCACCAACCAGTGGTGAATATTGGAAGTTCAGTTTAATATAATCCAGTCAGTGAATAGTTCCTCTGAAATGAATGAAAATAGTTGTTTTAATGGTTATAGAGCCAGATATGTGGCGGTAATGTTTGGTTTATCTAAAGGTTTTTATCTGTTACTGTGTAAATGGGTTTGGCTGGAATTTAAGGACAGATTCTAATAGATCTGCAGGGTGGGGACTATAAATCTGATAGGATTTTATCTTTTTATTGCTATTTTGCACAATATGCTTAACTTCGTATTTTTTGTTGTTGAATATTAGAGATTTTGCAGATATATTTTTTATAAATACATTGTTTAGATTTACTTATATATTTCTAACCCTTTTATAGAATAGAATAGAAAATCCCTTTATTGTCCCACAATGGGCAAATTTACAGCAGCAGAAAGATTATTGAAAATGGTCACACAGATGAGGACCTTAGAAAAATGTATAAGAATAACATAATAGGGAAGAGTTAAAATATAAACAATAAAATACTGTAAAGTGTTTAAACAATATAAATCTGGAGAATAAATAACCAATATGCAGCTATGGACATTTTTACAGTAATGGATATTTGAAAATAGCAGCAACATCAGAGATGTGCAGAATGACAGCAGCAGGTTATTTAACTGACTAAGGTTTCTATCATTACATTTGATTTGATTTGTTCCTGCTCCCGCTGGTTGGAACATTTATTCCACTCTGGATTCTTGTGAGTGTAGTCTTTGTTCACTTCACAATAAAAAAGAAATAAATAAACGGTTTTGAAAACTTCTGTATTCATTCTTTCCCTGCTTTGTGTGTCAATGTTTACGGTTGCTAAGCAACAGAGCATACGGCGGTAAAACCCGCTGAAGGGTAGACCTGGTCGAATTCACAGCCTAAACTCTTCCGGTCTCCTTATTTTCAAGGACTTCGAAGGATCCAGTCTAGGTAGACCGCGTCCTTGGAGGATCCAGTCTAGACCGCGTCCTTGGAGGATCCAGTCTAGGTAGACCGCGTCCTTGGAGGATCCAGTCTAGGTAGACCGCGTCCTTGGAGGATCCAGTCTAGGTAGACCGCGTCCTTGGAGGATCCAGTCTAGGTAGACCGCGTCCTTGGAGGATCCAGTCTAGGTAGACCGCGTCCTTGGAGGACACGTCCTAGGTTTTCGAACAGAGCCATAGAAAAAGAAGTGTAGGAGCCTAAATGCAGTTTATTTGAGTTAGAATATTTATTTTCTATTTTATTTAGAAATATGCGGATTCATAAGTAAGATAAATATTGTTTTTGATTTAATGATTCTAAGGGATTTAAAAGGATTAAAAAATGTTATTTTATATGTTCAGTTAATTGATATTGTGAGAAAGATATGACTTTTATTGTGATATTTAAAAACCCACGATGGGGAGTGGTTTATCTTCATGCCAGGTGAGGAATGCAGTGGGAATCAGATGGAGATTGGAGCGCAATAGTTTTTTGACCTCACCCTTCCCAGGCTCCGTTGGACTTTAAAAGGACTTAATTTCATGGATGTATTTTATGTTTTCTGTAATGTTGCGTTAAGTTTTCAAGTAAACCGTTGAAGTCAAGAAGTGGACTCGTGGATTTATTTTTTGGATACAAGGGAGTCTGATGAGCGTCAAACTAAAGCTTCAATAAGGACAGTAAGAACCTACAAGAAGGATAGATGTGTATTTAGAGTTGGACCTGAGGTTCATTGAGGACTAGGAAACTCCAGCTGATCATGTTGGACCGAGTCCCTGCTGACTGGCTGAGGGTTTATTTTGCAGCTGAATCCTCCATGTTGAAACTGGATCAGTTCCAGCAGGACATCCTGCAGCTGTTCTTCATCTGTTGTTTTGCTGATGGAAAGTTTTTTATCAGGATTTTAAAGATGGAGGTTCATCTAGTATCAATCATCAGGAAGGTTCTTCTGCTTTTGATCTTTTAATCTCAGCCGAAAGGACTTTGCACAACACCACAGTATTTATGTGTTTTATTGATGCTTCTAAAGCATTTGATCGCGTGAATCATCAAAAATTGTTCTGCAAGTTAGAAAGCAGAGGTGTACCCAAATATCTAATTAGAATAATGGTCTATTGGTATGGTCATCGACTAATGTATGTCAAATGGGGTAACTCATTGTCTGACTCGTTTAATGTTGGTAATGGAGTAAGGCAGGGAAGTATATTGTCCCCTTACCTTTTTAACATCTACGTGGATGAACTATCAAAGCGCCTGAATTGTTGTAAAACAGGCTGTGTAGTTGGTGACCGCATAATCAATCACATAATGTATGCGGATGATTTGGTAATCTTATGCCCATATAGTGCGGGCCTTCAACAATTACTAAGGGTCTGTTCCCAATATGGATGTGATTTTGATGTCAAATATAACGCTAAGAAAAGCAATGTCATGATTGTTAGAAGTAGAGCAGATAAGCATCTGATAACCCCTGACTTCTCTTTATCTGGCATTGTCCTCAATATATGCAATGAAATTAAATATCTGGGACATTACATAACTGATGACCTATCTGATGATCGTGACATTTGTAGGCAGTATTGCATGATGTATGCACAGGCTAATACTTTGATCAGAAAGTTTGGTATGTGTTCATCCTCTGTGAAAGTAGCTCTTTTTAAAGTTTTTTGCACTTCATTTTACACAGCCCATCTATGGCGAAGATATAAAAAAAGTAGCCTGCACAAACTTTATGTGGCATACAATGATGGCCTGAGGCTCCTACTCAAAGTGCCTAGATGGAGCAGTGCTAGCCACATGTTTGCACATAACGCTGTTCCCACATGTGCAGCTGCGCTCAGGAATCTCATGTATAAATGTATGTGTAGATTATTCGTGTCATACAATAATATAATAGCAATTTTAGTAAACCCTGTTTTTAGTACAGTGAGATTTTTCTCAAGATTGTGGAAACATTGGCGTCATCACTTATTTATGGCTAAGTGACTGTCATGCTTCTTTTTGTTTTCTTTTTCTTTCTTTTGTTTTTACTATGGACCTCTTTTGTGTCTGAAATAAAGATTGATTGATTGATTGACTCTTACTTTGAAAAGCCCCACCGGACCAGACCTGCCTAAACGGCGCCGCAGCAGAACCACATCTTTCCCGCAAACACCCGCCACCCCCGCACTGCCACCGCACTCAGCAGCAGGCCGCAGAGAGTTACTGTTAGCGGCTCCGAGAAACGGCCAAGAAAGCGGAAAATCACCTCGAATTAGCGGCGGAGCTGCTCCTGACGGCGGGAGGCGGATGTTCCTGAGGAGCCGGAGCTTCTTCCTCTCCGGGCGGCTGCTGCTGCTGCTGCGGCGTTCAGACGCAAAGTTGAGACGAAGCGGCGCCTCTCCTTCCTCTCCTCCTGCTGGATGACACAACTTCCGCACTGAGCGCAGCAGCGTTACCAGAGACTGTCAAAATAAAACACACCCGGTCAGATCTGTCGCCGTCAAAATAAAACACATCCGGTCAGAGCAGTGACCGTCAAAATAAAACACATCCGGTCACATCCCTGCTTTCCTCTGGATGGTTTAACCTCCATAAAGTTTAGCTTTGGTTGGATTGTGAATCAGCAGTTTTAAGGAAAGATTCTCTGATTTCTATCAGATATTAAAAACAGCTTTGATAAACTGTCGGTAATCAAACTGAAGGCAAATAAATTGTGTAAAACCTTAAACTGCTTTAATGTATTTCTCTATATTTATGTGAATAATGTGACATTAGTATGTTTAAATAATTGATGCCGCTGCTGCTGGGGAGAAAACAACATTTTATAGCATCAGTGATTTGATACACAGAAAAACTGGGATTATTAGAAGGTTAGGATCTATATATTCCCAAATATTCCAAGTTTGAAGAATTTCACGGTAGAAATATTTAATTTATCCAATTTTAACCCAAAACGAATCAATGCTTTAATGATTTTTAGAGTATTTAATACAATTCTTAGTCTAGTTTTTAGACTTAGATTGAACTTTATTTATCCCTTGGGATTATTCGTTTTTGGTTATTTTCCTTTAATCTGAATGTTTGATAAATTAGAAATGTCCATTTGTACATATCGATTATTTAGATGAAAGTTGGGTTATGTTATTTCTTCTGAACATTTTTCAAGAATCAACATTCAATAAAGATCCGAATTCACTCCTTCATTCAACCCTTTCTTGTCATCAGCGGAATCTTTGACCCGTTTTCTCGCGAGACGTGACGCGGCTCTTCGCGAGATCTCGTCCGCAGCAGCAAATCGGCTCCAGGAGACAATTCTGCTCGTTTCTGCGGTAAGAGGCTGATTAAGCAGGCGCGTGCGCGACTTGCACCGATCGAGCGCGTGTGCGGGGCGCGGAGCGCGTGCTTGCGCGCCTGTATTTGCGCGGTGTCTCTGATGGGGACGTGGGTGTCTGTGTGGAGGGTGTGTGTGGAGAAGAGGTGGATGGATGGAGGAGGCTGCAGCCCGCGGCGCGCCGCAACGTGTACGCGCACCGTTTATGATGACCACCCTCAATCATCATCCCTCCTCCGCCTCAGCGCGCGCATTCAGATCCTGCAGGTGACCTTCAGTCAGAGGTCACATGTCCAGCTGATCAGGTTGCACGGGGCGCGTGGGGGGTGGGGGGGGCGATGTTTTAACGCGACTTTGTCACCATGGTAACAGATGCTGGAAACAGAGGAGGCCCAAGGATGATTGGGGCCCTGAGCAGAGTCTCTTCTGGCCCCTTCACATGATCAAAGCTATGAATAGAACTGATTATATGATTAAAATGCTGCTCATCTCTGCATTATAACTTCAAAATAAAGCCCCTATACTTTTCAAAATAAGAGTTCAATTATTTTTCTCTCAGTTAGTCATCTGCTGCTGGACTACGGACAAATAATAACAGTGAATTCTAAGACTTTGCTGAACTCTGCTTTGAATAATAAATGTAAATGGAGGTTCTGCTTATTAGCCCTTCAAAATTAGACTGAAACGTCCCCATGTTCTGACGCATTGATCATGGCAGGCGCGCTAATGCTGCGGGGATGATGGGTTCCTCTGGAGACCCAAACAAAAGTTAAGCTCTAAGACTAATTTAGAAAGATTGTTGTGGGGTCAAAGGTCAGCAAGGATCTGACTAAAATTTCAGTGTGTTTGGAAAAATAAAAATAAATGTATTAACGGGTTGGTTGGTCTAACTACCGGGATGGATGAAGAGCTAAGAATACTAGTTGTTCCTCAATCATGGGGCGTAGATCATCATTGAAATAAACACATCCTGCATAAACAACAAACAAAGATTCTCTGAACATTGTGGAGAGTTACTAGAAAAGGAATGGATGGATGGATGGATGGATGGATGGATGGATGGATGGATAGAATGATGATGGATGGATGATGGATGGATGATGGATGGATGATGGATGGATGGATGGATGGATGATGGATGGATGGATGGATGATGGATAAATGGTGGATGGATGGATGGATGGATAGAATGATGATGGATGGATGATGGATGGATGATGGATGGATGGATGATGGATAAATGGTGGATGGATGGATGGATGGATGGATGGATGAATGGATGGATGATGGATGGATGGATGGATGGATCAATGGATGGATGGATGGATGAATGGATGGATGATGGATGGATGGATGATGGATGGATGGATGGATCAATGGATGGATGGATGGATGAATGGATGGATGACGGATGGATGGATAGATGGATGATGGATGGATGGATCAATGGATGGATGGATGGATGAATGGATGGATGATGGATGGATGGATGGATGGATAGATGGATGATGGATGGATGGATGGATCAATGGATGGATGGATGGATGATGGATGGATGGATGATGGATGGATGGATCAATGGATGGATGGATGGATGGATCAATGGATAGAATGATCATGGATGGATGGATGATGGATGGATGGATGATGGATGGATGGATCAATGGATGGATGGATGGATGATGGATGGATGGATGATGGATGGATGGATGGATGGATGGATGATGGATCAATGGATGGATGGATGGATGGATGATGGATCAATGGATGGATGGATGGATGGATGATGGATCAATGGATGGATGGATGGATGGATGATGGATCAATGGATGGATGGATGGATGGATGGATGATGGATGGATGGATGATGGATGGATGGATGGATGGATGGATGATGGATCAATGGATGGATGGATGGATGATGGATGGATGGATGATGGATGGATGGATGGATGGATGATGGATGGATGGATCAATGGATGGATGGATGGATGATGGATGGATGGATGATGGATGGATGGATGATGGATGGATGGATCAATGGATAGAATGATCATGGATGGATGGATGATGGATGGATGGATGGATGGATGGATGGATCAATGGATGGATGGATGGAAAGATAGATGGATGGATGATGGATGGATGGGTGGATGGATCAATGGATGGATGGATGGATGGATGGATGGAAAGATAGATGGATGGATGATGGATGGATGGATGGATGGATGGATGGATGGATCAATGGATAGAATGATGATGATGATGGATGGATGATGGATGGATGGATGGATCAATGGATAGAATGATGATGATGATGGATGGAAAGATAAATGGATGGATGATGGATGGATGGATCAATGGATAGAATGATGATGATGATGGATGGATGGATGGATGGATGGATGGATGATGGTTGGATTGATGGATGGATGCTGGATGGATGGATGATGGATGGATGGATGCTGGATGGAGGTGATGATGGATGGATGGATGGATGACGGATGGATAGATGGATGATGGAATGATGATAGAAAGATGGATGGATGATGGAAAGATGCATGGATGGATGGATCAATGGATGGATGGATGATCCATGGATGGATGGATGTATGGATGGATGGATGATGGATGGATGATGGAAAGATGCATGGATGGATGGATGAATGGATGGATGGATCAATGGATGGATGGATGATCCATGGATGGATGGATGGATGGATGATGGATGGATGATGGAAAGATAGATGGATGATGGATGGACGGATGGATGATGGATGGATGGATGAATGATGGATGGAAAGATAGATGGATGGATGATGAATGGATGGATGGATGATGGATGGATGGATGGATGGATCAATGGATGGATGGATGGATGGATGGATGAATGGATGGATGGATGGATGAATGGATGGATCAATGGATAGAATCATGATGGATGGATGGATGGATGATGGATGATGGATGATGGATGGATGGATGGATGATGGATGATGGATGGATGGATCAATGGATGGATGAATGGATGGATGGATGAATGGATGGATCAATGGATAGAATCATGATGGATGGATGGATGGATGATGGATGGAAAGATAGATGGATGGATGATGGATGGATGGATGGATGGATCAATGGATGGATGGATGGATGGATGGATGGATGGATGGATGAATGGATGGATGGATGGATGAATGGATGGATCAATGGATAGAATCATGATGGATGGATGGATGGATGGATGATGGATGGATGGATGGATCAATGGATGGATGGATGGATGGATGAATGGATGGATGATGGATTGATGGATGATGGATGGATGGATCAATGGATGGATGGATGGATGAATGGATGGATGGATGATGGATGGATGGATGGATCAATGGATGGATGGATAGTTGGATGATGGATGGATGGATGAATGGATGGATGATGGATGGATGGATGATGGATGGATGATGGATGGATCAATGGATGGATGGATGGATGGATGGATGAATGGATGGATGATGGATGGATGGATGGATCAATGGATGGATGGATGGATGAATGGATGGATGATGGATGGATGGATGGATGGATCAATGGATGGATGGATGAATGGATGGATGATGGATGGATGGATGGATGGATGGATAGATGGATGATGGATGGATGGATGGATCAATGGATGGATGGATGGATGATGGATGGATGGATGATGGATAGAATGATCATGGATGGATGGATGATGGATGGATGGATGGATCAATGGATGGATGGATGGATGATGGATGGATGGATGATGGATGGATGGATGGATGGATGATGGATGGATGGATGGATGGATGATGGATGGATGGATGATGGATGGATGGATGGATGGATGATGGATGGATGGATGGATCAATGGATAGAATGATCATGGATGGATGGATGATGGATGGATGGATGGATCAATGGATGGATGGATGGATGATGGATGGATGGATGATGGATGGATGGATGGATGATGGATGGATGGATCAATGGATGGATGGATGGAAAGATAGATGGATGGATGATGGATGGATGGATGGATGGATGGGTGGATGGATCAATGGATGGATGGATGGATGGATGGATGGAAAGATAGATGGATGGATGATGGATGGATAGAATGATGATGATGGATGGATGATGGATGGATGGATCAATGGATAAAATGATGATGATGATGATGGATGGAAAGATAAATGGATGGATGGATGGATGATGGATGGATGGATCAATGGATAGAATGATGATGATGATGGATGGATGGATGGATGGATGATGGTTGGATTGATGGATGGATGCTGGATGGATGGATGATGGATGGATGGATGCTGGATGGATGGATGATGGATGGATGGATGATGGATAGATGGATGCATGATGGAAAGATGGAGGGATGGATGGATGATGGATGGATGGATGATGGATGGTTTAGGGGTTTAGGGTTCAGTGCTGCTGCTCCACGCTGAAGTCCCGCCTTCTTTGCCGTTGTGTTCCAGGCAGGTCATGGAGGTGATGATGGATGGATGGATGGATGATGGAATGATGATAGAAAGATGGATGGATGATGGAAAGATGCATGGATGGATGGATGAATGGATGGATGGATCAATGGATGGATGGATGATCCATGGATGGATGATCCATGGATGGATGGATGGATGGATGATGGATGGATGGATGATGGATGATGGATGGATGATGGAAAGATGGATGGATGATGGAAAGATGCATGGATGGATGGATGAATAGATGGATGGATGAATGATGGATGGATGGATGGATGGATGGAAGGATGATGGATGGATGGATGGATGGATGGAAGGATGATGGATGGATGGATGATCCATGGATGGCAGGATGGATGGATGGATGATGGATGGATGGATGGATGGATGGATGGATGGATGGATGATGGATGGATGGATGGATGGAAGGATGATGGATGGATGGATGGATGGATGATGGATGGATGATGGAAAGATAGATGGATGATGGATGGACGGATGGATGATGGATGGATGGATGAATGATGGATGGATGATGGAAAGATAGATGGATGATGGATGGACGGATGGATGATGGATGGATGGATGGATGGATGGATGGATGATGGATGGATGATGGAAAGATAGATGGATGATGGATGGACGGATGGATGATGGATGGATGGATGAATGATGGATGGATGGATGGATGGATGGATGGAAAGATGCATGGATGGATGATCCATGGATGGATGAATGGATGGATGGATGATCCATGGATGGCAGGATGGATGGATGATGGATGGATGGATGGATGATGGATGGATGGATGGATGGAAGGATGATGGATGGATGGATGGATGGATGATGGAAAGATGCATGGATGGATGATCCATGGATTAATGAATGGATGGATGGATGATGGATGGATGGATGGATGGATCAATGGATGGATGGATGATCCATGGATGGATGGATGATGGATGGATGGATGGATGATGGAAAGATGGATGGGTAATCCATGGATGGATGGATCAATGGATAGAATGATGATGATGATGGATGGATGGATGGATGATGGTTGGATTGATGGATGGATGGATGGATGGATGGATCAATGGATGGATGGATGGATGGATGGATGATGGATGGGTGGATGATGGAAAGATGGATGATGGATGGATTGATGGATGGATCAATGGATGGATGGATGGATGGATGGATGAAAGTCTACTAGTTAATGACTTGATTTGTGATAATCACATTGACTTGTGTTGCCTTACAGAAACCTGGCTGCAGCAAGAGGATTATGTGAGCATAAATGAGGCAACTCCTTCAAGCTATTTAAATTTTCACATCCCCAGAAGTTCTGGGCGAGGAGGAGGAGTAGCAACAATCTTCCAGTCTGACTTACTGATTACTCCCAAAACAATTAATACCTACAACTCTTTTGAACATTTAACCCTTAATTTCCCTGATCCAAATTTCAAGGCAAGAAAACCTCTTCTTTTTGTAACTTTGTATCGTCCACCAGGTCCTTACTCTGAATTTTTAGATGAGTTTTCAGAGTTCCTTTCTGATTTTGTATTAAATACTGACAGGGTCATCATAGTGGGAGATTTTAACATCCATGCTGACATTGAAGGCGATAGCTTAAGAGCAGCCTTTAATGCTATCTTAGACACTATTGGCTTTGTTCAAAATGTGAATAGTCCCACGCATTCTCATCTTCATACTTTGGATCTTGTGCTGACATACGGCATAGAATGTGAAGAAATAACAGTATTTCCTCACAACCCTGTCCTCTCTGACCACTTTCTAATAACCTTCAGGATTACTTTAACAGAGTTCTCCTCCCCCAAAAGAAGGTTACATTTTAGTAGATCTTTATCAGATAGTGCAGTTATAAATTTTAAAGAATCTGCTTCACTTTCTCTCTGCTCTGTGTCACTGAGCAGTGCTGCAGAGTGCAAAAGCTTAGCTTATTCCCCTTCACAGGTTGATGATTTTGTTGATGGGGTTGCTAGTTCTCTGCGTATTGCCTTAGACAACGCAGCTCCTTTGAAAATGAAAACCGTTAAAAATAGAAAGCTTGCTCCTTGGTTTAATGCAGAGCTGCGTACTTTGAAGCAAAATGCTAGGAAACTGGAGAGAAAATATCGCTCCACAGGCCTGCGAGAGTCCTTCCTAGTCTGGAAAAATGGTTTACTGCTGTATAAGAGGACCCTTTGTAAAGCAAGAGCAGCATACTTCTCCTCATTAATAGAGGAGAATAAGAATAATCCTAGATTTCTTTTTAATACAGTTGCCAAACTCACCCAGAGCCATAGCTCTGTTGAACCGTCCATTCCACCTGCTCTTAGCAGCAATGATTTTATGGGATTCTTCATAAATAAGATTGATCTTATTAAAAATAAGATCATAAGCACTCCTCTATCGGCGATTGTACCTGAGGTAGTCATGGAATCTGAACCGGGTTTAGACTGCTTTGATCCAGTTGAACTCTCTGAATTAGCAAAATTATTGTCTTCATCTAAGCCTTCAACTTGTATGTTAGATCCAGTTCCAACCAGGTTATTTAAGGAGGTATTCCCTTTGATCTCCTCCTCCATTCTAGATGTGATTAATCTATCTCTGTTACAGGGATATGTACCTAAAGCTTTTAAGGTTGCTGTAATTAAACCTCTGCTTAAGAAACCGTCTCTTGACCCAGATGACTTGGTCAATTATAGACCTATATCCAATCTTCCTTTCTTATCCAAAATTCTTGAGAAAGTAGTTGCCAAACAAGTTTGCGATCACTTCCACCATAATGAACTTTTTGAAGAGTTTCAGTCTGGCTTTAGAGCTCATCATAGCACTGAAACAGCTCTGGTGAAAGTCACTAATGATATTCTCATGGCCTCAGATAATGGACTTGTATCTGTGCTCGTCCTGTTGGATCTCAGTGCTGCATTTGATACAGTTGACCATAATATTCTTTTAGAAAGACTTGAATATTTTGTTGGAATTAAAGGAACAGCACTAGACTGGTTTAAATCTTATCTATCTGATCGAATTCAGTTTGTTCATGTTAATGATAGATCTTCAACACGCTCAAAGGTTACCTGTGGAGCACCACAGGGATCAGTGCTAGGACCAATTCTCTTTACTTTATACATGCTCCCAATTGGTAGAATTATTAGACAGCATGGGATTAATTTCCACTGTTATGCTGATGATACCCAGCTATATCTGTCTATAAATCCAGATGAAGCTAACCCATTACATAGATTACAGGCATGTCTTGAAGACATAAAAACCTGGATGACTCTTAACTTTCTGCTTCTGAATGCAGACAAAACAGAAGTTATAGTCTTTGGACCAGAGTCTCTGAAAAAGAAACTGATTAGCCAGTCACTTCATTTGGATGGGATTAAACTGATTTCAGATAATAAAGTAAAAAATCTTGGTGTTATTTTTGATCAGGACCTGTCATTTAAATCCCATATCAAAGAGGTTTCTAGAATTTCCTTCTTTCATCTGAGGAACATTGCAAAAATTAGAAATATCCTGTCCAGGGGTGATGCTGAGAAACTAGTCCATGCATTTGTTACTTCAAGGCTGGACTATTGTAATTCTTTACTATCAGGAAGTCCACAAACTGTAGTTAAAAGCCTTCAGCTGATCCAAAATGCTGCAGCCAGAGTTCTAATGAAAATTAAAAAGAGAGATCATATCTCGCCTATCCTGGCTTCTCTTCATTGGCTTCCTGTTAAATCAAGAATAGAATTTAAAATCCTCCTTCTCACATATAAAGCCTTAAATGGCCAAGCTCCATCTTATATCAGAGATCTGATTGTTCCTTATGTTCCTAACAGAGCACTTCGCTCTCAATCTGCAGGTTTACTAGTGGTTCCTAGAATTTCTAAAAGTAGAATGGGAGGCAGATCTTTTAGTTATCAGGCTCCTCTCCTGTGGAACCAACTACCAGTTTTAGTCCGTGAGGCAGACACCCTGTCTACTTTTAAGGCTAGGCTTAAAACTTTCCTTTTTGATAAAGCTTATAGTTAGGGTGGCTCAGGTTATCCTGAGCTATCTCTATAGTTATGCTGCTATAGGCTTAGACTTTTGGAGGACATAGGGACCCCCATTTCATCATTCTGCTTCATTCTCTCTCTGTTCTCCTATTCTGCAGAATCTGTTAGTTCAATCTCTAACCTTCTGCTCTCTCTGCTTTTCCTCAGAGTAGCTTTGCCTCGTCTGTTCCTGTTTGGCTGTGACGTCATCCTGGAAAGAAACATCAGCTGTGCTGCTTCTATCAACACCCTTGTTTATAGATGTTGGAGATCGGCCTGTTTTCCAGTGTGATCCTGTTTCTCTGACCGTGACTGAGTGGATGTGCTCTCTTCGTCCTCTGGCATGGGAGCTGCCTTGGAGCTCGTCTGCCTGGCTGTGTGTTTCCTGGACGGGGCCGCCTTTTACAGCTGCTTTTTGTATCTCTGCTTTTGTCTCCTTGAACCCCAGTCGGCCTCGGCAGATGGCCGCTCACACTGAGCCTGGTTCTGCTGGAGGTTTCTTCCTGTTAAAAGGGAGTTTTTCCTCTCCACTGTCGCTACAAGCATGCTTAGTGTGGGGGATTGCTGAAGAGTCAATGAGTCGATGCAATCAGCTGGTTTTCCTTAGATAGAAAACTTTGAATCAATCTGACTGGATGATCTGGTTGAACTGGAAAGTGACCTGAGATGACATGATGTGAATTGGAGCTATAGAAATAAACTGAATTGAATTGAATTGAATGACGGATGGATGGATGGATGGATGGATGATGGATGGATGATGGATGGATGATGGATGGATGATGGATGGATGATGGATGGATGGATGGATGGATGGATGGATGATGGATGGATGGATGATGGATAGATGGATGGATGGATGATGGATGGATGATGGACGGATGGATGATGGATGGATGACGGAAAGATAGATGTATGATGGATGGATGATGGATGGATGATGGAAAGATGATGGATGTATGATGGATGTATGATGGATGGATGATGGATGGATGGATGGGTTTAGGGTTTAGGGTTCAGTGCTGCTGCTCCACGCTGAAGTCCCGCCTTCTTTCCCATTGTGTTCCAGGCGGGTCATGGAGGTGATGATGGATGTATGATGGATGACGGATGGATGGATGATGGATGGATGGATGGGTTTAGGGTTTAGGGTTCAATGCTGCTGCTCCACGCTGAAGTCCCGCCTTCTTTCCCATTGTGTTCCAGGCGGGTCATGGAGGTGATGATGGATGTATGATGGATGTATGATGGACGGATGATGGATGGATGTATGATGGATGGGTTTAGGGTTTAGGGTTCAGTGCTGCTGCTCCACGCTGAAGTCCCGCCTTCTTTCCCATTGTGTTCCAGGCGGGTCATGGAGGTGTCGTCTCACAGCCTCTTCCTGCTGCAGCAGCTCAACGTGCAGAGAGAGTTCGGCTTCCTGTGCGATTGCACCGTCGCCATCGGAAACGTCTACTTTAAAGCCCACAGAGCCGTGCTGGCTGCCTTCTCCAACTACTTCAAGATGATCTTCATCCACCAGTCCAGGTAACACAGCTGAGATGATCTCTAGAAGAACACAGCTGGAGGAACATCTGGCATGTTTGAAAGTTTAGCTCCCACTTTCTAGAAACTGAGAAGAAGCAGAGCATGAGGCCAACTCACTTTTTACACACTTTATTTCACAAGTTGCTGTGTAGGATGATGGTGAAGATAATAACCTGAAAAATTAGAAGGAAAAATTAGATAAAAAATAAAAAAAAAAAATGTTTAACACTGAACTTGTTTTCAACTATAAGTTTATATGCACACCTTCTACGGCCCTGTCCAGCTCTCCTGGAGTAACTTCCTGTCTCCTGGGAGACACAGCAAACCTTCAGGCAATGGCAGGTATTGATGTTCCATCCTGGAGGAGCTGGACTGCCTGTCAACCTCTGTAGGGTCCAGGTAGCGCCTCATGCTAACAATAGTGACAGTGACCCTAGCCAAATGCTAAACTGGTGAAAAAGAGACAGAAAAGATGGAGGGGAAAATGTCAGCAGCCTCCACCCGTAAAACCATTCCTGTTTGGATGGTCGTCTCGTTGTTGCCCCTCTAGTTCACCTGTTGTTCATTTCATTCACACCAAAGCAGCTAAAACTGATTAACCCCCCCCCCGCTACTGACCTGACCAATCAATATCACACAAGTTTAATTCACTTGATGCTTTACTCTGATTACAAAGTGTTCCTTTCATTTTTTGAGTAGTTTATTTATAGTTTCTAGGTTTTATCCAACCCTCTAAATCTGTGTGATATTTATTTATTTACTGTTTGTTATAACGTTACACGAGATAAACGAACTGTAACCTTTAAGTTTTAGTGTACAGTTGTACATTTGCATCAGTTTTTACTAAACATCTTTTATCTGGGATTTTAATCTGCATTTGTAATTTTAAATCTTAGGTGTTTAAATAAACATTTTTAAGGAGACAAAGTTTAATAATCCAATACCACAAAGTGGCTTTAAAATGTCCAGAGATGGATTTTTAAAAATGCCTTTTGATCTAAAACTCACTTTGTTAAGATTCATGTTTTTATATAAGTAATCTGTGATGAAAACACATCAAATGTACAGAACAGTCAAATAGGATCGAATCGCATTAAGTTGCACCAAATAAATCTATGTGATCTGCTGGGATCCACTTTCATCTTTGCTGCTCAGCAACTTCCTACAAATGTCAACTTGTAGTATTTTTGTTGGTCGATTGTTTTACTGCAGGAGGTTAAACCTTCTTTCATCAAACAGTTTTCATGTTTCTGCTTTAAAAACAAAACTTTAATTATGTAATGTTTGTAAATCCCTTTATTGTCCCACAATGGAGAAATTCCCTCTGTGCTCAGGGTCTTGCTCAGGGACCCAGAATGGAGGCTGCGGGGATCAAACCTTCTCAGAGAACAAGCGCACTGCTCTAACCGCTAGGCTAACACTCCCCCAATTAATACAGCTTATCTCCACCCACACTTATTTCCTCAGATATACATCCACCAGATATAAAATATTTAAAGGTTCTTCCAGATCTAGGATCATAGATATTCTGCCTCCAATGTTCATCTAGTATTTCTGTAGAATAGTCAACCCGTTAATTGCATGTTACTTTTTTAGAATTTGTCTCTATTATCTATCATAGTTTTATAGAACATTGAAATATGAGGGTTTTTAAACAGAGAATTCAATCTGTGTCAAAGTCAGAACAAAGGACCCAAAGTCAGACAAACGTTTGTTAAAACGCTTATTGGAAACTGAACTGGAGTGAATGATTAATGCAAAAACCTCTTCAGGAGGAGAAAGCATGTTAGTGACCTTGGCTGTGTCTGACCCTCTGCCCTAACTCCTAAATCCCTATACTAACTCCTAAATCCCTATACTAACTCCTAAATCCCTATACTAACTCCTAAATCCCTATACTAACTCCTAAATCCCTATACCAACTCCTAAATCACTATACCAACTCCTAAATCCCTATACTAACTCCTAAATCCCTATACTAACTCCTAAATCACTATACTAACTCCTAAATCCCTATACTAACTCCTAAATCACTATACTAACTCCTAAATCACTATACTAACTCCTAAATCCCTATACTAACTCCTAAATCACTATACTAACTCCTAAATCCCTATACTAACTCCTAAATCCCTGTACTAACTCCTAAATCCCTATACTAACTCCTAAATCCCTATACTAACTCCTAAATCCCTATACTAACTCCTAAATCCCTATACTAACTCCTAAATCACTATACTAACTCCTAAATCCCTATACTAACTCCTAAATCACTATACTAACTACTAAATCACTATACTAACTACTAAATCCCTATACTAACTCCTAAATCACTATACTAACTCCTAAATCCCTATACTAACTACTAAATCACTATACTAACTCCTAAGTCACTATACTAACTCCTAAATCCCTATACTAACTCCTAAATCACTATACTAACTACTAAATCACTATACTAACTACTAAATCCCTATACTAACTCCTAAATCACTGTACTAACTCCTAAATCCCTATACTAACTCGTAAATCCCTATACTAACTCCTAAATCACTATACTAACTACTAAATCACTATACTAACTACTAAATCCCTATACTAACTCCTAAATCACTATACTAACTCCTAAATCCCTATACTAACTCCTAAATCACTATACTAACTCCTAAATCCCTATACTAACTACTAAATCACTATACTAACTCCTAAGTCACTATACTAACTCCTAAATCCCTATACTAACTCCTAAATCACTATACTAACTACTAAATCACTATACTAACTACTAAATCCCTATACTAACTCCTAAATCCCTATACTAACTCCTAAATCACTATACTAACTCCTAAGTCACTATACTAACTCCTAAATCCCTATACTAACTCCTAAATCACTATACTAACTACTAAATCACTATACTAACTACTAAATCCCTATACTAACTCCTAAATCCCTATACTAACTCTTAAATCCCTATACTAACTCGTACATCCCTATACTAACTCCTAAATCCCTATACTAACTCCTAAATCCCTATACTAACTCCTAAATCCCTATACTAACTCCTAAATCCCTATACTAACTCCTAAATCCCTATACTAACTCCTAAATCACTATACTAACTCCTAAATCCCTATACTAACTCCTAAATCACTATACTAACTACTAAATCACTATACTAACTACTAAATCCCTATACTAACTCCTAAATCACTATACTAACTCCTAAATCTCTATAAGAGCAGGGACTAAATAGTGGACTATAGAGTGAACTCAGTTAACTGACGGTTCAGACAGAAGATCACTAGTTTTCGCTCCCCGTTGGTCATGTAACTCCTCCTCCTGACATGGTGGCTTTGTTATTTAGAATTGAATAGAATTCAACTTTATTGACATTCCACTGTCACAACTACAGAACAACAAAATTCCCTCTCTGCATTTAACCCCTCCCCTTGGGGAGCAGTGGACTTCCATTGTGCAGTGCCTGGGGAGCAGTGTGGGGTTAAGGGTCTTGCTCAGGGACCCAGAGTGGCAGTCTGCGGGGCTTGAACTCAGAACCTCTGGGACCCTAAATACTAGGCCCTTTTTGTTGCCACCGTCGAGTAGGAACAGCCGTAGGCAACGTCGGGCCGCTGTGACAACAAATCCCATGATGCTTTGCGAGGAGAGCTCTCCTTTCAATCTCTTTTTCGTCTTCATCAGAACTCTGGCTGCAGCATTTTGGATCAGCTGAAGGCTTTTAACTACAGTTTGTGGACTTCCTGATAGTAAAGAATTACAATAGTCCAGCCTTGAAGTAACAAATGCATGGACTAGTTTCTGATGCTGGTCCTGCATTGAATGCTATGAAGCCTCTTCCCAGAGGGCAGCAGGGAGAACAGTCCATGGTGGGGGGGTGAGGGGTCATTGATGATGTCACGGGACACGCAGCGCTGGGATGAAATGTCTTTAATGGAGGGAAGAGGAGCCCCCATGATCCTCTCTGCTGTTCTCACCTTCTTCCAGTCTGAGGCGCTGCAGCCTCCACACCACACAGTGAGACAGCTGCTCAGAACGCTCTCTATGGAGCTTCTGGAGAAGGTGGGGAGGGGGGGCTGGGTATCATCAGCATAACAGTGGAAATTAATCCCAATAATTCCACCGATTGGGAGCATATATATATAATAAAGAGAATGGGGCCTATTGATCCCTGTGGTACTCCATAGGAAACCCTGGAGCAGAAGTATTAAGATCACTTTGTTTCAAAATTATTATGCATTGTAAGTGTGAATTTGAAGGTGTAGAGAGAGTTACATTCTAAGGGGAATGTTTTAGATAGGAAGAATGTTATTTTAGGTATGTGGAAGTAATGGGAAATATGACGTCCTTTGTACTACTAAGAAATACATTTCAAATATCTAAAACGTTCATTTTGACTAAGAAGAAATGCATTTGACATATCCAGCCAACATATTCAGTTAGGCTAATAAATGTCAAAATTATTTCACTGACCGAGCTGACAGTGCCCCCTGCTGTCCAGTCAAGAGTACTACCCTTAAGTCACAGATCATTTAACTCACAACAGCAGATTTGTGTAGTTGTATTCACTGATTTGTATGTGTTAAGGTAAAAAAATGTAAACATTTCTTTTGAAGATTTTATGACACATGTTTGAATTTGTTTTTTCTTTTAGATCAACTGTAGCAAAACTGAATGGAAGACATTTTTCATGTGCAACTTGCAGAACACAATTTGTGTACTTGTACTCAAGAATTTGAAGAGGTGTGACACTTATTTTTTAAATGTGACAGGTCTAAAATCAAAATCTACAATTACAAAACACCAAAGTTACAATGCACAAATAGTTTTGCTATTTGGAGCAAAACTGAGAATATAAGAGGTTTATGATTGGCAACTTGTGGAACAGAATTTTTGTACTTGTAATTAAAATTTGAACAGGTTTCACAAAAATTGTGCTGATTTTTTTTTATTCTTCAAATCCAATTTAACTCTCTCTACAA